GAATTTTATGTTCAAATTTAATTCGAACAAATTCGAACAAAACATTCGAAATAGAAAGCCACTTTCAACCACTTTCAGCCTCATACCTCCCGCACCCTTATAGCTACCGAGACGCAACCACGATAGTGCACGAATGGAGACTTGGGGCTACTACCACATACAAACACCATTCATGTGCGATGTGTAGTTTTGGCTGAAAAGTGAAATACAGTATATGGACACACACGTCCATTTATATATATATATATATATATATACACACACACACAGTAGATACAGTCAAACTTGTCTATAACGGAACCTGTATATAGCAAAAACCTGTCATTAACAGAAAATTTCTTCGGTCCCTTGAATTTTTTGCAAAAATTAATTTAAATTAACCCTTGTATAGCAGAATCTCTCCAACATGGAAAGGGAAAGGAAAATGGGCCATATAACAGAAAAATCAGTATCTTTATCCGATTTAACACAAATATAATAAGAAGTTTATGAGCCTAGCATGTATAAATCATAAAAAAGTAAAAAAAAAACACACACACACACACACACCCAATACAGAATAGCAAAATACCACTACTGTATTAAAGTAATTTTATTGGGATTTGAACGGAAAGTTTATGCGTATTTTTATTAACAGCTGTTTTAACATAACATAAATACCTGATGTAATTATAAGTTGTGAAATTTAACACATTATTTCCCATGTGAAACTGAATTCTTTGTTTCCAAGCTTATTTTAACTTTATTACATCTCATTTCGTTTGAATAAAATCGAGTCAAAATGTCTGCAGATAAAATGCACATCGGGCATATTATGCATGCTTTTAAAGTTTGGTAACGAATATCACCCTATACAAACAGTAAAAAAATACCTGTACCAAGTACGGGGAAGGTGTTTCTAAACTTGGAATATGTCAAATGTGTTTTTGAAAGTTTCGTTTGGGAAATTATAAACTAAAGGACACAAAACATACGTGTTCCCAAAAGCCGTCGAAGAGAAATTGCAGGAAGAAATTGTTAAAGATGGACGAATAACATCCATGTGAATTTGAAACAAATCTTGGTGTGTCACGGACAAGTATCGTTGAAACACTTCAATTTGGTTCATTTTTACATAAGTGAAAAAAAAAAAAACCTAACTGAGTATAATTTTGTGGGACGAAGGTAGGCAGCTGTAAGGTTTTATTTTATTTTCAAATTGGTTACTCATTTTTACAGACAAATTAAAAAATTGAAGTTCAAATAAAAATTTGTTCTAACGGTTGGTAATCATTCAGTTGAGTACCCAGGTACCACTGTATTTGATTAACTCGATTTTGATATACACATAACATCGACAAATATATTAATCGCATTATCGTGGGATACCTATATTTACGGGTTATGCGGGATATGGCTATTTACGGGTTACCTATA